GGGAGCCCAGGCAGCATGGGGTGAAGAGCAGCAACTCTGCCTAGCTCAGTGGCAGCACTGGGCTGGGGCCGGGTTTGCAGTACAGGTGCTGTGGGAGGTGGCTCCACAGGAATCCAACCCACTGACAGTAGCTGCCTCTGTGAGGGCACAAGGTGTGGGGCTGCCATTGCTGCCACTCCCTGGGGAGAGGCCCAGACTGGGGACCCATGGACCCAGAAGCAGCTCATGCCAAAGCTGCCAGGCGGTCCTGATCCACCCCAAGTCGTGGGCCTAAGGGTGCTAGGCAGACCTGCCATGGCAGCTCCGTGTAGGTTCCAGCAGGACGCAGGTTCCAGGCAGCTGCAGCAGGGGGCACGCTCGTCCATAACCTGCAGCCAGGCTAGCAGCACCAGGGCTTCAGGGAAGGTGGTGCTGAGCCACAGTGGGGCTGCTGTGCATCCTTAGGCCCAGGGCATGCTGAGACCTTCTGGGACCTGCTGAGAAAATAAGCAAGGAAGTTCGGCCAGGGCCAGAGCAGGTACCCCAGCCCTGGCTGCCACTACTGAGGCAAGGGCATGGTGAGCCCACCGCTGCTGGGGCTGTGCTCAGGCTGGGAGCATGTCCTGGGCAGCTCTGCAGAGACCCCACTCAGACTGGGCATCCTGCCAGGACATGCAGGGTCCCCCCTCCCTGGGCTTCAGCCCCCTGCAGGGAACCTCCCTCCCCTGCCTCCAAACCCCCCCCCCACACACCTTCATAACTTCCCCCCACCCTGCCAACCATGCAAAGTACCTGCATAATTTTATGTAATTTTGAGTTTTTAGCTCTGCAATTAAAAATTAGATTAATTGCAGCTAATTTTTTAATTATGCAACTAATCACAGTCAGTTTTTTAAATAGTTTGACAGCCCTACTTTATATACAACAGCAGTTCCCAAACTTTGACAGATTGCGCATCATCAATTTAAAACGATACAACCTTAAGTACCACCAACACATTTTTGTCATATAAAGTAATTATAATAAATCTGTTAACACGTACCACTGACAGGTTGTCCGCATACCACTGGTGGTACCCATACCACAGATTGGGAACCGCTGATATACAACATCAGTAAGACTATTTGCCACCTATGTCAGGTATGGAAACTTTAAATGAAGTAAAAATTGAAATGTTCAAAAGAGAAAAGACTGATTCAAAGTCTGGAATGATTACCTTATGATAAGGGAACTAAGAAGCTCAAGTCTTATAACGTATCAAAGAGATAGGAACCCGGGTAGAAGTATTCTGATAACAAAGTTCCATTTAATGAAAGAGGAGGTCAGACCAAGATGCAGTAGCTGGAAGCTGAAACAGGATAAATTCCAACTAACAATTAGTGCAAAAGTATAAACAGTGAGAGCCACTAACTATTTGGGCAAGTTACCAAGGTAGGGTGGTAGTTTATTCATTACAGGGATACTTTAAATCCAGTGTGGATCTTTTTAAGGGAGAATTTTTGGGATAGTTTAAATGAAGCTAGAGGAATATGAGGGGAAAGTATTCTTAGCTGTAGTAGTTCCTTAATTTCTGATTTAAATGTCCTCTTGCCCCTTTCCCTAGACAAACAACCTAGAGGACTGGTCTGGAGTTCTTAACCTGAAACATCATTTTCTGTGGCCAGTAGCTCCAGTGTGTTACCTTTGGCATCCAAGCCTGCCAGTGAATGAGCACATGTACAGCTGGTTCACATAAGCCTAGTGTTAGAAAGTACCTCAAACCCTCAGAGCTGACTTGATTTAAATTTATCATTCACTGGTACCCATTAAAGTTGTTGCTTCAAAGCCAAGTATAGCCTTACACTTAATTTACACTACTTTTTCTAATTAGAGCATATGCTACCTCGGTACACATTTAAAGCTTCACATCAAGTAAAATGTAAAAATTAAAAATTGTAGTTTTTAAATGTAATTAGAAAAGTGAGAAACTTAGAAAAATAGAAGTAGTATGTTTATGTCAAGCTGCATTTGAATGGAAATTGGAAATCAGAGATGAAAATCAAGAAGGGAAATGTGCACTTTAAAATTATTTGTATTAAGAACATTTAAAATAAGCTGGGTACATAAGTTTACCAAAACATGTTGTAGTTTATCAGTTCATTTACATAGAAAGGAAGTAGCTATAATACATTAATTGAGACAATTTAAACCTGAATGAAACAGGATTACGGTTACAGCTCTACTTATACCAATCTAAGAGCAAATGTGGTATAGTAAACAGGTATAGTACAAAGTGGGTTTTAGCTGTCCATACCCCAGATCTGACTCCTAGTCCACAGACAATGCAGCCTCTTTATGTCAAGATGCCTGCCTGTTCCATGTTTATGGAAACAATTCTCATCTGGATATATATGGATGGACATTGATGGTCCAAACTCCTTTCTACTGTGGAATAAATCTTCTCAAGGCCGAAGGAAACTTAAGGCATATTTAAATAATGGTATATTACCTCTGTAGGCACCCTTAACTATCAGTTCTGCTAAAAAAAAAGGTTCAATTGCATTTGACCCCTACAATGTAGGTCTATGGGGGAAATAAAAAGGATGTTCTTTTTGTCAAATTTTTTTATGAATCTCCAGCTAGCATTTGTTTATGTAACTCTCGGCAAGTCATTTAAATAAGTTAGACACTTGCGTGTTGCATTTGTGAAGTGTTCACAGCATTCATCTTGAAGCACCACAGTTTGTTTAGAATTAATTTCTACCAAACCACAAAAAGCCTCATACATTCAGCATTACAATGAAATGTTAAGAGTAAACAGTTGGTACCAGCTATCTAAAGTCTTAAAAAAATGTGTGTTCCATAAAACATCTTAATCTTCACTGATTTAGACCCTTGACATTGCTATGAAAATGTAATGGTTACTTTTAAGACAATGGTGTAACAAAGCTATAGCAGATCCAGCTTTTCTTTCCTTCCACTTAATCTGTTCACATTATATGCAGGTCTGTTCCTTCTCTCCCCCACCGCAGCCAGAGCATGGCCAGCTCAATTCCAACTGAGCCTGCTTTCAAGTATCAATTAACAACTTTTCACACCTGTTAAAACCAAAAGAGCTCTAAGCCAAGTTAACCCTTAAAAACCTTTTTGGTATTTTGTAGCCATTCTTTAATGCAGTCAAACTACCTAGTCAAATTTTGCTTCTAAAACTGTATCCATTTTGTTAACCTATTCATGATCTTCTGTTGAGTAAGTTACGCATTTTTTTTCCAGCATGCTGATTACTGAATATGGCCTCTTTTTTTTTTTTTAACCTCAGTGGTCCTGGAGAGCTATTGAAGTTTTAGATTTCAGTGAAGAAGAGCTGTAGAAAAACTCAGTGAAGTATTCCAACCTGCTTGGGAATGTTTTACAGATAGAAATCATGGCAAAAAAAAACCATATCTTGTAATTTATTTTTATATTTCACTATCGATTTAATGAAAGCCAAGCTTACATAACTAAAGGCACAAGGAACAAATGAATACTGAAATGAAGAGACTTTGGAAAATCAATTCTGATCTTTTAAGCTGAATAGGGTGCAGCAGCCAGTACCAATTACTCTCAGCAGCTGCTTTTAAAATTGTTAGCTATTAGATGTTTACAGTATTATTTTACCAAATGAATTAAGGTAAACTTAACTTTTACCCCTCCCCCCCAATATCATGTTGAGGAACCTGCTACCTCTGAGAGCTTGTTACCTTGTGGAAATTCTGCACACTGTAGTGCACATTACAGCCATAGCACCTGAATTTGATTTGTACCATGAACTGTCTCATCAAGAAAGTGTGGGAATTATGGTTCCCAAAGGAACTGTAATTCTGCCACTGCACACCCAGTACTGAGGAGATAAAGGTAACACAATCCATAGCAATACAAACAGGATGGTTATAAAGATGTCATCTTATGATTGCTATGGGAACCAAACATTTGACATTCTGGTCTCTAGACATCTCCATGCAGAAGTAAGGCAACTGCATCTCAGGAAAAATTCAACACTACTTATCCTGAGAAAGGGGGTAAAATTTTACCCAATACTCCGTCAGAGCCCTGCTAACAGAGCACCTTGACTGTCCACACTTGACATTGTTCTGGCATGCATACCTGTTACATGGATTTATAGGGAAAACTCCTTTAAAGGCCTTGTCCCAGTAGGTGCTGAATAAGATCTTCAGAAGATTAAAATTCAGTTTTAAATGTATTCCGCTTTTCTTCTAAGTTGTCTGTGTTAGATATCTATCTGTAGTTTTAAAAGTATTTACGTGAGGCCAAACATCATTGTTAAGGTTAGGAGCCTAACCTTAAACATTTTCAATGCCAAAAAAAATCATCCCCATGTTTTCAGTATCCTTCCTTGTAAAATTTACGTTATGTATCCAGTTTGTGTTAATCACTAGAAGCATGAGAGTTATACACAACTTTATTTTTTAAATAATCTTGTCCTTCCTTCACAAAATATTTTGTATCCATGCTACCTCACACTGCCTCTTAAATATATCCTGTGTGTTACCTGGAGGAATCCTTGCTTTCTCCACTAACTTCCCTCACAAAAAAGGAATGCATTGGCTCAGCCAAGTGTCAGAGTCATGTTCCTGCACATTAGCATGTTGTACTAACACTAGGTGGCCATCAACCGTACAACAAATCTCCTGAATACTGTCGTTTGTACAAGCAAACATTGAAAGCACAATGATCCAAGGCCAGTCAAGCATTTGCAAAAATTCAGGCAGATGTATGAAGCACATTCAAAGTACTATGGGCAGACACATGTCTTTTCTCAAGTAAAATGTATTCCTCTATGTGATTGTTTAAGGGAAAGAATTTGAACACTTGTACAGATAGGTGGCTCCTGAAACATTCATCATTCTAAAGAAGTAAGACTGGAAAAATTAAATTTACCTTTCAAATGGGATGCCATATACAGTAAGGCAGGAGGAGGAGACCTGTGCTTTTCATAGAACTGCTATTTCAGTTGATTTTCTGTTCTTTCCCCCTTACTTTAGCTTTTGTCAGGAGTGACAAGCCCAAACTGTTCAGGGGACTACAAATCAAGGTGAGTAATGATTTTTCTCCCTTCATTTTAAATTCTAGCTGTTAAGAGGAATTCAGTGTACATAAAACCATTCCTTCCACAAACTATTCACATATGTGTTTATGCCTAACCCCTTGATAAAGGATATGGGTGCATCTGAAAGAGTGCTGATTTTAAACTCAGTAGCAGGAGCTCTGACCCACCTCCAAAAAGACAGGCTGAATATATATATGTCTCATTTATTGCTCTGATGTGCTGCTACTTGATGCTCCCAATAGATGTTGATTTCTAAAATTTACCCAAAAAACCTGTGGGATTAGTTAGCTTAATACAGAACAAAAGCAAATAAACCTAGGAAAATTTTACAGGAGGAAAAAAAGTATAACATCCCTAATGGAATCACTCTAGAAACTTTCAATTTTGAAAAACTCTATGCCAATTAAAAGCCTTCCTTTCCAGTGTCACACTTTAGAAGGCCCAATAGGGCATATAGTAAAAAGGAGTATTTAACCAGCGAGTCATATTAGTCATTAGCAGCAGATAGAGCATTGCCTGCGTGGATGCAATTTACAGTACAGCTTTGACCTGGTGTTCAAGGTGAGATGACCAGGAGTAACTAAAAATTATCTATATTAAATTGTATATATAATTAAGCAGTGGGAAAAAAGCAGTTGGCTGTAGGGGAAAGGAGAAAAGTCAATTAATGGCCTGGTAAGATACCAGGATGCAGTAATTTAAACTATAATTATTTTAACAACTGCAGTAGAATACCAGCTTCCTGTCCTCTCCCATCCCCTGCTGTCTTGTCTAATGGATGTGCCTGCCATCTATTCCATTTCACTTGTAGCCATCACACTTGTGAAAATAGGTAAAAGCCCAAGGCTGAAATGCAGGCTGAGCACCTGAAGAAAGTGGTGCTTACTCAGTGTTGCTGAGATCAGTGTTTCTCTATCTTCTAAGTAGCAAATACCCCCTAAATTCTGAAAATGTTAATAAGTACCCCAACATTCAATTTTCCAGGGGATTTTATATTTATAGACTAATATGTGCCATATGTTGGAAGAAGCACTGTGTATATAGGGCTGCGATATGACAGATGTCTCATCTGCTGTGGGTAGGGCTGCCACATTTTACACCAGGGGTGCACAACTCAAGTACGTACCTGGGCTAGAGGTGGTGTTGGCCAAAGCTAGGAGGGCTGAACCCAGCGCTGTGCAAAGCATGGCACACCAAATTATTACTGGAGAATTTAAAGTGCTGTGCAGTGTGTGGCACACCAAATTTTTACCATAGTTTTGAGAGGAGGAAGGGCAAAAGAGAGAGGAAGAGGGCAAAAGAGAGAGTGTGTTGGGATACCCGCATACCCCCTGCCCCCAGGGGTACGCATACCACAGGTTGAGAAACTATGGCTTAGATAACTTTCTACTCTGAAATTTATTGTTAAGGTAATGAGGATGCTTAGCTGCTTTAGCTTCATTGATGGAGTAAACTCCATATGCATAAAAAGGTGTTTGCTGTTAGCTTCTCTGTTTAACTGAATTGCTTCCAGCCTTAACTAATCATCTGCAGCAATGAATAAAGCAGCAAGTAAAGAAGGGTCTGGGTTGTTGTTTGTTTTAATTCTAAGTATAAATACCCCCCAGTGCAGCTTTAATGACCTGAATCTAACAAATGTCAACTTTAATGCTCTCATTAAGTATCAGGGGTATAGGCTGTAGCCATGTTGGTCTAAGGACATAGGCAGACAAGGTTCTTTGGGTAAAATACTCATTAAGTATAAGAATTTTAAAATTTAATATTAGTGGAGGGGGTAGTGTTTACACCTTAGCATAAAAACAAGTAAATAAAAAACCCAGAACTGATATAAACCAGAAAGAGGTAGTTAGCAATGATAGTCTGAAGTCAAGCAGAAGGCAGGGTAAAGATGCACCTATCAGGTGCCATGAATGCCTAATTTAATTAGTCTGGGGGGGTCAAACATACGGCCTGCAGGCCAGACCTGCCACAGGATGCCAGGCTGTCCAGCCCTGGTGGATATGGTGGGAGAGTGAGCCAGAGCTAACACAGCTCCAGTCTCCCTCTGACTGCTTTACCTGTTATCGTAGCTGCCAACCCCTGCCACATGCTAGAGCTGCCACCACAAGACAGAGCATGCTGCAGCGGAGGTTCCAGGTCAAGCCGGGGGTACTGCTCTGTGCCCCAAGTCCTGGATTGGAGCCAGGACTTCTGCCATCACCACCACATGGTACAAGATGGAGCTGGAGCTGCTCCTGCTGCTTCCTTGTGCCTTAGGTTGGATCTAGCCTAGGGCACAAAGTGAGTTTGATACCCCTGAGTGAGTTTATAAGGTGCATCTTCTGTCTTCTAGCTGATATAAACCACAGTGGTTTTAAATGAACTGAATTGTGGGGAAGTATCTGAGGTGGAGAATGGGGGAAGAATGTGATTGCCAATTGAAAAAGTAATTCCCTTTTTCTCCTTGCAGTATGTGCGTGGTTCTGACCCTGTACTAAAGCTGTTGGATGACACTGGGAACATTGCTGAAGAACTGAGCATCCTCAAGTGGAACACGGATAGTGTAGAAGAATTCCTGAGTGAAAAACTAGAACGTATATAAATCTTACTGCTTTCAGCATACCTCTCTCACTTTAATTTTTCATCATGGTAATCTTCTCAGATAAAGTGTGCTGTGCCTGGAAAATCATTCCTGCCTTTGCATTAATTCTAAAAGATCTCATATTCATGTGGTACTAAATATCTTTTAATTAGGAGTGGAAGCTTCAGCACAGCATGTATTTGACATGTTAGCAAACTGAATAAATAGCCTGTCCTAGTACATTTCAGCTTTTAGCATGCATATCACTAATTAAATGCTTTGTTACAAACTTTGTTAATTATACAAATACCAGAGTTGTGTTATAATTGGACTAGTTTTTACAAACAAACCCTTAAACCTAGACAGCATCTTCAGATAATTGAGATGATTACCATGCTTTTTTTTGTATGCTGCTCTTTGTACAGGAAGTCTTAACCAAATGAGATGTTCTCTCTTTCCCAGAGAGATTTGTCTGCTTGTGCCCTCTTGCATTTTGTATTTCCAAGCCTTTTTGGGGAGTTTTGTTTTTTTTTAAATAAGGGTCTTTATAATGCCTGGTTTCAAAGGGTTTGGGAGTAATGATGAAAGAACCTGTGCTCTGGAGTAATGTGAAACATTATGTAGGTACACTTTAGTGAAGACTTCATAGAAAACCTGAAAAGGTATGTGCAAGTCTGATATCAGTGTGCTTTGCACTGAGTGTTTTACTTCGCTACAAGAGGCATGAGGTAAAGGAGAAAAACTAATTTTGAGCTGGAAATAAATCACTTTCACAAAATTACTGCAAATGTTTGGTTATTGCACGAATTTGTAACCAGTTTATTTCTATTTAGAAATGTATTTTCCCCTTTTTAATTAAAACCATGGAAACCCATGGTGAGTTTAACTGGTTAAAAAAAGTAAGTGAACAATAGTAAGGATAATGCATGAAAATTGAATTTTTGAAGCTGCAAATTAATTAGCAGACATGTCCTTCCACTTCATATGCTTTAAGGTTTTTGGATTAATTTGCATCTGGGGGCAACCTGCACAGTCAGCGCTTTGTTGGCCAGTTTCCAGGAAAGAGGAGACAGAGTTCAAATACACATACTGTGTGCTGCCCTGTTGATTAGAACCATGAACCTCAGCCTAGAGGGCAAAGAAGGAATTCTTCACCATGCTCCTCATGTCCCCCCAACATTTTTTAGCAAGTGTGCAGAAGCTTCCCACACTTGGAATCCAGAACTGTTTTGGTTGTATTGTGCTTCAAGCTCACAGGCTTCCATGCAAAGTCCAAGACAGCCAGATATAGACAAACAGGCCAACATAAAGAAGTCATCATAAAGATCTGAGTAATCAGCAGTCAAATTTGTAGATGAGATTATACAGCGATATGGTACATAGGGAGAAAATAACTATGATCAGAACCCTGTGAACCACCTTCAGAAAGTGGAGGAACCTCCAAAAGAGCATTAAGTTAAGACATGGAAGCCAAAAGGAGACTACAGGATTTCAAATGGATATGGTTGACTGTATGGAAGGTGGCTAGCAAGTCAAAAAAGGTGAGGTGGTTCTAACCTAAGAAGAGGTGTGAGCAGTTTCAGTTGAGTGCACAATTTGGCAGCTGGACTGGAAGGGATTTAAGATGTAATTGGAGGAATGGGAACACCAGAGAGCATGTTAGAGATAAGACGGGGATACAACAGTAGTTGGGAAAGCAAGATCAGGGATGGTCATTGTTTTTAAGATGGAAAAGTTATTTTGAGGGGAAGAATGTATGCAAGTAAAATCAGAAAATGAACTGGAGTCACTGTGGACAAGTGATCATGTCGTACTTTTAGTTTTTTTCTCTTCAAAGAGAGGGTTTGTGGAGCAAATGTGGTAAAGTTATTTTCAGACCTACCTTGTTCCTAGCTGAATAAAGCATGGAGGAAAGGATGGGGGTGGAAATGAATGAACTGAAGGAAGTCATCCTGGCATTAGGGGTTAGGAAAACAGAGATCAGAAGGAGATACACTTCAAGACCAGGTAATATTAATGAATGAAGATAGCAGGTCAAATAAAGCTGAAGGTGGGCATCTTAGAAGTAATGAAACCAAATCAGAAGAAAGGTAAGTGGGGAGGTGAGTAGATGGTAAATGACAGCATTTTGTTGGGTGCTGCCAAAAATACATGTCAGTAGTTTATCACACATTTTATTTGCCTACCAGTGGATGTTATACCTCCTGATGGTCATGAGTCTGACAGCTCTACATTTGAAAGCTTGGCTCTTTAGCACGAAGTACAAAGGGTCATTATTTGAGTCTGGATGTTGTCTTGCCCCTGACCTAAACAGTTGCAGGCCTGAGAGCTACCATGATCTCTCACTGACCTGCTTGAAGGTTAAGACATGTTTTATAGTAACAGACTGGCCTCAGAGGAAGAACAAGTGCCTCCAGTCTGCTAGTGGCAGGCAGACAAATCACTGTACTGCTACAGGTAACACTTCACATTTTCTTAAATCTGAACATTATTGTCGGTTGGGAGACAAAGAATGAGCCTGCAGCAAAGGAAAGCTTAGCAGATGTCTGGCAATGAGGAAGGTTAGGGACAAGTTACACATAAACCAGTTTAAGTGATCAGAATATGGTTTAAACTTGTAACAGAACAGAAATTCAGTGCACATAAACCAGTTTCAAAATAGCTGAAACTGGTTTAAGATAAACCTGGTTTAACGCAGCATCAGGCTTAACTGATTTAGATCAAATCGGTTTATGAAGCTTCGGTCCTAAACCAAAAGGAATAATAAAAAAAAAAAGTAGCTTTGCTGCTGCTGTACATTCTTGATACTTGGGACATTCTGCTTCCAGCCAGGCTGGTTAATTTATGCTTGAATCTGAAGAACTGGCTAAGCTGCTGCCTCTGCAACCCATGAAGGGGTCCTCAAATAGCCCTTCAGCCAGCAGCTCAGAGGGCTGTCTTGCATAACTGGAAATAGTACAAAACAGCCCCCATGAGAGAGTGGATCTGGCTCAAGGTTTCTAGTCCATGCTTGGAGAGGGCCTTGACAATGAAAGTGTTACTTGTTCTTGTAGCTTGGCACATAACAGGATGAAACTAGCAAAAAACGGGAGTGGATAGCCCTCAGTGCAAGCCAAGTAGAACGGAAGCAAATGCAGTAATAATTTTGCATCATTCCAAGGGTCAACAACAGGGAACTTCAACTCCAGTGGCAGTATTTGCCATTTCAAGGTAGTTTAAAGAAAGTAACCTTCCCTTCCTGAGAAGTGTAGGTATTTTTTCTCTCTTACAGAAAGGAAGACAGATTTTTAACACCATCTTGGCATGCTTTTGTAGGTGGATTCAAGGGCCAAAATCAAAACATTGCTAATAGCCTCTCTGTCGCACTAAAAATACAGCACTTAACTCATGGAAGCTGCATTTCATCGAGATGATGTGCTGGTTGTTGATCCCCAAACCAAAACAAGCCTGGTTATTCTGAGCAAAACATGCAATTGCTTCTAAGCAAAGCCAAAATGTCTGAGACAAGCAGTGACTAAGATGATAAGAGACAGACAGTGCAACTTATTGATTCCCTGCAGTATTGACCCACTATTGTTCAGTAGGTTGTCTTTCCTAACAAAGGCACTTTTATATTAATTACAGTTCAGTAGTTTAGGCATAATGCAACTAGGTCATTCATTAAATATTGGCAAGTGATGTGTAACAAAAAGCCCCATGCCAGAAGAGGAACATTTTAAATGATTATATTCTGAAAGGATACAGCTAACTATTAAACGAACAAGTTAAAAAAACAAACATCCTGGGGACTTAGTAAAAACTGTACTTGTGTTTGAAATCATTGTGCAAATAGATAGAATATTAGACACTGGTTCAAACAGTATCTGAGCATATCAAGTTATGCCTTTCAAACCAGTTCCTGGAACTGAACAAGGCCCCATTGGCCAATCTTCTTCGTAAACGACCTACTGCGGGATAACAGGGATCTAGAAAATGTTCCATTTGCTGCTTGGTGCATTGAACCTGCCAAATCCTAGTGGTGCTTAGATCGCTCCACAACCTGCTGTGTTCCTGGATCACAACCAAGGAGGGAGTGAAATGCTTCTCTTCTAACCTCACCCACAACAAAGTTGAATTTATTTTCCCAACCTCATTGAGACTCCAGATTAGTGTACAACTCCTGAGTCAGAAAGCATGTTTTGTCTGCTGTGTGGCTGAGTACCTGTATTTGTCTGGAGTGGAAGTTTTAAAATACCTCTACCCAGGTGTAGAGGAAACCCACTTCACAGACCTTGAGAAATGCTGCATGGGCAGGAGATGGTGTTCCCAGCTCTGTTTTTCTAATCTATGCACATATACTCTCAGGAAAACAATTGCTTAGCAGTAGGAACACATACCAGACACACTCACTAATAGACCCTGATACAAAGCAGCATTTATGGCATTGTAAGATCAGTCATCCATCACTGTGGCAGTTTCTCCACATTTGTATTTCAGTGTGCTAGGCTACATAGGCTTGAAAAGAAGCAGAAACTGTTGGGTCATTTTTCTGGGGCTGCCGTAATACTTAGGTGTGTATATGGCAAGGACAACAAACAGAAGGCAGGGTAGATTTGCACTTTATGGACTAACTATATCAGAAAACTAGTGGCTGAGAATACAGGTACTCTGCCCCAAGAAACACCTCTAATGAACCCCACGCTGAACAAATGTGGCAGCACAGAGCCATGCAAAGTACTATCAGTGTTAAAGCTGTGACTGTCTAATAACAGAAATCAAGACGGAGTGATGCAGGTTTGACCATAGACTCTACAAGTCTACCAGAAATATAGGGACAGTCAGATTGCTTGCCCATACAACACCTCAGTTATGCCCACAAGTGCCAAAAACTTACTGCAGACATCCCTCTACCCCAAGGGTTGGCAATTATTTGTTGGGCCACTTAAGTTTTGGTGAGCCATCGAGGGCCGTAAGGGTAGCCCTGCCCCCTGGTCACCACCTTGGGACTGGAAGTCCCTCCCCTCCCCCTAGAAGTATTCCTTTTGGAAAGGGGGTTTGCTATCTTGGAACCAGAAAAAAATCCAAATTATATAGTAAAATCAAACATCTATAATAACATTTTAATTTTATTTCAAAAAATATTATTGTCCTGATTTGTATGTGTTTGCATAGTGTACCCAGAAATGATTGCATAATAGGTCAAAATTAAGTGTCTCATGTATATTGTGGGGGGGGGGGGTATGGCGTTTCATAGTTGGTAGGGTCAGAAGGGCCCTGAGCAGGCCATCTAGTCCAACCCCCGGCCATGGCAGGAAAGAGTACTGGGGTCAAACGACCCCAGCAAGGTGTACATCTAACCTCCTCTTAAAGACCCCCAGGGTGGGAGCCAGCACCACTTCTCTTGGAAGTTGGTTCCAGAACCTAGTCAGTTGGTTCCAGCTCCTAGCCTTGGGGGATGTGGGGGAGGCTGTGTGGATGTATGGGGGGGTGCTCATGTGGGAATCCCACTACAATCATGCCTTCCCTCATTGCATGCAGGCTCTTGGGGCACTCATGGCATGTGTGGCACACAGAGCTCCCCGGCAGCATGTGGTCCTGGAAAGCCCCACAACTGCACATAGCCATGCTGCTGGCTCCATTACACGGGGGTTACATGCCCGAGCCCTGCACAATGAAGCCGGCAGTGCAGGTCATGGGGCTCAGCCAAAGTGGCAGGGAAAGGGGCGGAGCCAGCATGGTTCCATAGTGTAGAGCTCACCGTTCCCCATGACCTGCACACAGCCGTGAGCAGGGCTGGGC